TATATATATATATATATATATATATATATATATATATATATATATATATATATATATATATATATATATATATATATATATATATATATATATATATATATATATATATATATATATATATATATATATATATATATATATATATATATATATATATATATATATATATATATATATATATATACATACACATATACACACACATAGTTGCTTTGTTGTAAAATCTTTTTAGATGTGAACAATCTAGGAAAGACATAGAACTTTAATTTTAACATCACTTAGGTATTTGTCAAATTTACTAGCCATTTTTGAGAGAGAAATTTATTAAATGAAGCAGTAAATGAATAAAGTAAATACATATTTTTCTCCAAATACTTTTTACAGTTTATTGTCTTAATTTTATGCAAGTGTGTGTGTGGCTGTTTTAAATAAACATTGACATTCAGACAAAAGAATAAAGAAAAATTATTTCATAACTATTTCTGTGCTCATCTTCTCTCTGACTAATCCCAATATGGAAAATTGCACCATCGCATATCCTGATTTCCTTAAACTTCCTGTGGTTTTCAAGATGAGTAGATTAGATCACATCAGCTCTTACCTTTTCAGCTCCGGCGCCAAAGAAGATACTGAAGCGGTTCGGGGGGCGGTTCTTGCAGTTGTTAGGTCCAGCGGTCAGTGATCCTCCAGGAGCCGCAGTGGGCAGAGAGCCTCCCAGCAGGGCCAGAGTGTCCATAGAGGGGATGCTGGCATCACCCAGAAACTGCTTCATGTCCTTCGTCCGACGGGCCTGACCCTGTGTTGAGAAGCAAGAGATGCAAGATTGAGAGATATTTAACTTTTTCCGACATCCCATGATGCTTTGCTTGAGTGATGGGAGTTCAATTCAAAAAATTTGCTCGACCTCAAGGGGTGATACACCTTTATGAGTTTTTTTCTTCAGTTTAACACAAAAAAAGAGATTTTGAAGAATGCTGAACATCTGCAACCATTGACTTCCATAGTTAGAAAAACAAATACTATGGATGTCAATGGTTACAGGTTTCTTCGGTGTGTCTTCCTTTGTGTTCAGCAGAAAGAAAAGAAACTCAAATAGGGTTTGAAGGTGAAGGGTGAGTAAATGATGACAGAATGTAAATTTTGGGTAAATGTCCCTTTAAATTTCTGTCAAACTGTAAACAATTAGTAAATGGTTTTCAAAAATGACAATAAATGTTTTGTGTGATTTTAACTTTTTAAAATAAGTTAATTTAATTGGCTTTCAACTCAACTTTTCTTTTTCTTTTTTTAATAATAATTTTTTGGGGGTTTTTCACCTTTATTTTGATAGGACAGTAGAGAATTCATACAGGAAAGCATTGGGAGCAGAGAGAAGGAAAGGATCGGCAAAGGACCCCGAGACGGGAATCAAACACGGGTCACCACAAGCACACTGGTGCTATATGTCAGCGAGCAGTACCACTAGGCTACCGGCGCCGACTCAACTCATCTTTTTAACTTAATATTTTTTAGTCTGATTGATGTAAGCTAAGATGACAAGAAAAATTATAGGAGCAATCCACATCTTTAAAAAAAAAGCCACATTTACAAGTTAAACAGTCGAGTTATTACAATTTTTTAATCCATTCAGCCGATCTTCGTGTCTGGAAGGAGCACTTTCATAGATATAAACACTAGATATTGCATAGGGTCCCTGAGCATGTAGCGCCGCCATATTTGTACAGTGCTCCCAGGACAAGTGTTATTCAACCGCACTAATCAAGCAGTAAAGATGCTGGATTGTATGGGTGTGTAGTAATGAGCAAACAAAGAAAACAATTCACCATAAAGCAAAGTAGCCCCACCTCGCACTAAATACTAGCATATGCTAGTTTTGTTGAATAAAATCAGCAAACAATGGAAGAGAAATATGACAATGAGATGCTGCTCTGCCAGAAACTTGTATTATTGTCAGCTAACGTTAGTGAAAGAGTCGTTCGGGGGATTCATTCACAAACGAATCGCTCCCTCTGTCGTCAGTATAGGAAGTGAAAGCAGGGGAGGGGATGTGTTTCAGGGCATGGATTAGATCAAATTTAACAGGGAGGGTGTATAGAACATTTCCGTGCACACAAACACAAGCTTTTTGTCAGGAATGCCTGTGCGGTCACTGATCCATCAAATGTAGAAAAATGATGAAAAATCATAAGTTTCGTAATAAAAAAAAAAAATGCATACTGACCACTGGGAAAACTCCCGATCATAGATATGCGTGTATATATCTGGCTCTGGATGGCCAGAGTCCTCCACTGCAGCGTGGTCCCGCATTCATTTTAAAGGAGCGCCTCCCTGTACTAAAATGGCAGCTCTTGATGCAGTCCTTCTAATAGACAACAACAGGGTAGGCGACATCTAATGTATATATCTATGGAGCACTTTTATCTTAGCTTAGCATAAATCATTGAATCAGATTAGACCATTAGCATTTTTGACTGCAGCAGATGCAATAATATCACGCAGTGCCTGAAATTAATCCCCAGCTAGACTACTTCTAGTGGCATCCACATGTGGATACGTTGGTTATATTGACAAAAGTTAGCCAAAATTCAGGCATTGCATAATATCAACTCAGCTGCTGCAGCCATGGTAAGGCAGCAAAGATCCTTGATTATTACACCAGATTGAGAGTATAGTTCTTAGCCTGCAGCTAGTTTCCTGGAAAACAGCAACTTCTCATTTTCCATCGATCTTAGTACAAGATGTAACTACAGAATTGACAAGCTTTAAATAGGAAAACCATCGAAACGCTTTTTGAGCAAGATGCTAATGGTCTAATCTGATTCAATGATTTATGCTAAGCTAAGCTAAAAGTGCTCCCACAAGATCAAGAGGTAAAACTCTAGGAAATTTGCTATGTTCAACTATATTTCCTTTAAGTTGATTCAACAACAACAACCAAAAATAATCACTTAAAAAACTCCAAACAAGTTTTTTCTGTAGCAAATAGTACAGAAGTATATTAAATATACTGCATATGCATATATAAAAAACAAAAATAACCTGTAAAAAAAAATTAACGTCTAGTTAAAACATCAACCCTAATGTTATTTTATCACCGGAAAAATTAAAGCACAAAGACAAACGCATCTAAATATGGATTATTTGTAGCATACCGTTACTATTATTATTTTTTTTGTTTCAGCACTTTTGAATGTAAGTTCCCCAAACAGGAAGTGCAGCCCATAATTTGAAACTCAAGAGGCACATTTGGAAAAAAAAGAGGTTTGTGAGAATGATATCTGCAAGAATGTGAAGGACAGTAGATAGAGAGATACGATGGAGAGCTTTATCGGTAACATCTGAATGAACGAGCGGCTGTGAGAGAGTAAACATGAGATTCAAAAACAGATTGAGAGACACAGGTGAGACCGAGGCAAACAAACTAAACGTACCAGCATTCATCTCAAGGATATCAAACCACAAGCAGAATCAAACCAGGGTGGGCTCACAATTCTGAAGTATAATAGCCTTCAAATCTGAAGTTATAGAAATATTGCAGCACGGTAAAAACGTCTTATTTCACATCATGACTTTAATCTGTTTTTTATTGGTGACATTATACTTCTTATTTCACATCATGTGTTTTTAGAAGTATGATTACGCTGTACAACATTATATGACAAGAAGACATAACAGCAAATGTTTTTACGTTACTTTAAATTAATTGGGTTTATTTTTTGTATCTATAAAAAGTTTAACTTTTTTTAGTCAGCTTGACTGATGTAAGTTAAGATGACTAGACAATTTCCTTTGATTCAACAAAAAAAAAAGTAGACAGCAAGATTTTACAGTGTATATAATTAATTATTTAATAAATAATACAAAACACATGAATATTTTCTGCATAAATTCTCAATTCCCCTCTAATTTTTTCAAAATGTTCTCAAAAATGTGAAAAATACCTGGACACAATAATTGTATGAACATAATTTTATAGATTTTGTATATTTTACCAATTAATATTTTTATTTAAGAACAAACAAGCATTTTTATTTATTATATTTTTAGAGTTTGAATTTATTTATTTATTTATTTTACTTAGCAAGAAAAACAATTGCCAAATTTAATAAAACCAGAACTTAATAGAGCCAGAAAACCAAAATTGTAACCAATTTTATACAAATTTAATAAAACCAGAACTTAGTAGAAACAGAAAACAAATATTTTAACAAACAAACAAACAAACAAACAAACAAACAAACAAACAAATAAACAAAACAAACAAACAAAAAATGCACTCAAAAAAGAAATTTCTTCACCATTTACTCTTAGGTGGTCTTAAAATTTCTAAATATGTCGTTTTGTTCTGTTCAAAACAAAGAAGATATTTTGAAGAATGTGGAAAAAAGCTGCCAATCAAAAAAACATACTATGGAAGTCGTTTTTCTTAAATGTGATCCAAGAACTGTGAATAGATGATAACAAGGTATCCATAATCCTGGACCAGGTTGTATCCTGAGCAGATGCTGTGGTGGTCATGGAGGAATGGAGAGCATTGAGACATGAGATTCCTGAAAAACCCTAGTGACAGACGAGTCTCTGCATTGATTCCGTGGGCCAGCCTGAACACCCTCCGGTGACTCACACCTGCAGCTTCTCCACAATGGACGTCCAGTGTTCTCCAGCCTAAGGCGTCTAGATTGCAGCTCTGCACAGAAAGTTTAGCCAAAGGAGAAATGGTTGTGTCCAACTGAGCCTGGTTTCTCTCAAGGTTTTTTCCTTCACTTTTGTCAATCGGTGAAGTTTGTTCCTCGCCACTGTCACCACTGGCTTGCTTGGTTTGGGCCTTGTAGAGCTGCGCATCGATATACACCAATATAAATAAACATGAATTGAATTTCTCCAACATTCTTCAGTATATCTTCCTTTGTGTTCAACAGAAGAACCTTTAACTTTTCTTCTACCTCCTCATCACTTTTTAAAATAGCTGACCCTTGACAGAAGCACTGCAAAACCAAAGCTTCTACAAAGTGACAACATTAACAGAAGCAATTATGAGTCATGCTGATATCCCAAACAATAAAGATCCTTCCCAAGTCCTCCTTACATCATACAGTGCAGTAGGTCAGCAACCCTGCTCGGAAACATTAAGACCGTCATTGTTTTATCAGTCATTGTTCTGCCAGAGAGCACTGCAACAACTTACTGTTCAAACATGCTACAGCGTATGACTTGAACAAACAAACAGCTGTTTAGTTTCTAAGGAAGTAGTAATGTGGCCGAGCAGGAGGCTTGTTGACCCTCTTCACCAGGACGCAGGGAATTCCACCGCAAATTCCAGAAAGCACGACGGCAATTTGGGGGAATGTGCAAAAAAACAGGAAAGGTCTAAAGATTAAACAATGGAATTCCCTAAACAAACACGAGCAAAGCTGATAGCGACGGCAATAACAGATAATAGTGAATTACACTGATTAAATACAGTTTTATTACATTTACTATTATAGATTTTTATTATTATTATCAACGCTCCAAAAAACTTGTGCTGCTGCTTCAAACTACTCATTTAAAAAAAGCTGAATCAACACGATAGATCACTAATTAAACTTAAACTCTTATAAATGATTTTTTGGGACAACTTAATTGCTTTATGTTCAATCCACACAAACACACACACACACACACACACACACACACACACAAAAGTATTTTTCTATTTTTTTTTTGCTCTTTTTATTGTTACACTTTCTATGTTCTTTCTTATTATGTGCCTATTGCTGTTACTGTTTTTATGCCCATATCGTTAGTATATGTTTT